TGTTGTATTTGTTCACGTCAGATTCTTCGTCTTCTTCCTCCTCGCTTTCTAAAACAGGGGACGGCATATAAAATGGATAACCTAAAATGCAGTACAACTTGCAAAACCAATAGCGCTGTTCACAGGTAGCAGAAGGACTTACTGCAAGTGGAACCCCCTGTCTCGCCCCCCTCCCCACGTCCAACTCTTCCATTAGCGTGGTGAACGTTGGTTAGGTAGTCAGGGCTAGTATTGCCACTGTGGTAGTTCAGGCTCGAGGAAGAAGACGATCCACCAACATTAGCCGAGGTCACACCGGGGACAGCCATGGTGACAGCGACGGCGGTGTCAGTGCCCATCATCATCTCGACCGAAGGAGTCAGCGAGGGCGGAGGAGCCGGAGGCACGTCTCCAGACTGGATGAACTCTTGCTCAGCACCGATGCGTTCCTCGGCAAGCAGACGCTTATACAGGTCCATAGTAGCGCTTGCGGACGCAGTCTTAGTGGAAGCCAAGACAGCCTCGAAAGAGGCGACGGAAGCAGCAGCCATTCCGGCATTCATAGCTTGAACGATGAGGTTGTACTCCGGTCGAGGGCCCAGGCCAAGGATGGACGGACCGAGCTCCCTCTCAAGGTCAACAGCTCTCCTACGGGCCTCCTTCACCAGATTGTTCTGAATGGTAGAACGTAGCTGTCTCCTTAGCTCCTCTTGGAAGGCGATGTCCGGTGGCAGGCAGCCCGGATCAGCTCCTCTAGCACTCCCCCCGGTGCTGTTACTCTTACTGATGAGGGACAGAAGGGCAGTGTATTGGTCGAAGTCAGTGGGAAGCGTAGGAGGGGCTGGCAAACCCCTAGTGACGTCAACATCAGAGGCACTAAAAACAGTCCCAATGAATTGAAGTCACAATGACTGTTCCGAAGCCCACCTTGAGAAATGTGAGGTGCGCGGATCGACCGGGGATCCTCCATTATTGCCGCGGTTAGCGTTGGAGAGCTCTGCCTGCTTAGCTGCTTGACGGTGCTGATAAGGGGTATAAA